AGCTATAATTGTTCCATAGAAGAGAGACACCACAGAGAGGTGGGAGCCACATGTGGACAAGGCTTTGCGGAGCCCTGTGGTAGAGGGGACTCTCAAGATGGAAGTGCCAATACGACCATAAGAGACAAGGATGGCAATAAATAAAAAAATGACAACCAGAGTGCCTACAGTGAATATGACGAGCTCAGTGACAGAGGTATTTGAGCAGGACAGCTTGAGGAGGACGGGAAGACTACAGAAGAAATGGGGAATGATATTGTCAGCACAGAAAGACACCTGGGCCAGGAGGAGAGTGTCTAAGAGGGCACTGCCACAGGAGACAAGCCAGGAGCCAGCCACCAGCAGCACACACAGCCCCTCCCTCATGATGGCGGTATAGTGCAGAGGGTGACAGATGGCCACGTACCTGTCATATGCCATCACTGCCAGAAGGAGACAGTCAAGACAGCCAAAAACTATGAAAAAATACATCTGTAAAATGCACCCTGCATAGGGGATGAACTTGTCCTTAGAGTGCATGTCCCTCAACATCTTTGGGACGGTGACAGATGAAAAGGAGACATCAGTGAAGGCCAAGTGGCTGAGGAAGAAGTACATGGGCGTGTGGAGGCGAGAGTCCAGCCTGATGAGCAGGATGATGAGCAGGTTCCCCAGCACCGTGGTCAGGTACATGCCCAGGAACAGGGCGAAGAACACGCCCTGCTGCTCCGGCCGGATGGGGAGCCCCAGGAGGAGGAAGCCGGACACGCTGCTCTGGTTCTCCCTCCTCATGCTGCTCCTCTGTCTGCAGGAATGAAGGGAGTAGGAATTATCAGAGACTTTTAAAGTGTCATTATGGCCACCACAATAGGGACTCTTATTTTCTCCTGGAGAAAAAGAATAACTGCTTGAACATATATCATCAGCTAGTGCTGCTAAAGCAAGCAACACCCTCAATGCCTAACATGATGTCTTCCCAATAAATGCATTCTTCTTGTTCTTTTAATCAACCAGGTTTCTGGTATTATGATACTATTTGGAGATACGAGAATAAATGGGACATAAAGGACCTCTTCACTTGGCGTGCTGACCCTCTGGGGAGCCCCTGACAGATAGTTGACCAAAGATATGGATCTGCAGCCAGGGCAGTGCTGTGATTCTGGCCCCACCTCTTCTTAGCTGATGACTTAGGGAGCCACGCCTCTCTTGGCTTCATCTTGTGTCACCGTAGTGTGAAGATTCCAATAGCACATGTTCACAGTTAATAGGAGGATTCTAATTCAATACACAGGAATATCTAAGAACAGTGTCCTCAATAAAATAAACACACAAAATTTTAGCCATTGCTTTTACACCAGGATAAACATCCAAATAAAACCAAGATCGAGTTCAGAAATTTATTAAAACAACACTATGACATGGTCAGCACGTATGACCTAAAGTTTATGATAACTCATCAGAGCTCTCACACTCTCAACAGGAGTTTCGACTCATAGCCTACCATCGGGGTAAATCTGATGGAATTAGTCTTAGTGCAAGTTCATCTTTTGCCAAGATATAATACATACTTTATTTCGTGTCTCCATTTATATCTGATGTTTCAACTTGGCTCAGAAATAAGCAGAACAAAGCCACCTGAGACCTGAGATCTGAGAACTGGGGATGCCAATGATTAGGAGGTGTCTATTAGAATTTACAGTTACCTGGTTGACCATCACTATTTCCCAACACTAATTTTCACACTTGTAATACGGGACATTTAATGAACGCTATGTCAGACAAACACATTTTTGCATTATTGCCTCATGAATCTTCAACAGTCCTAGGATAAGGGTGTTATTAAAGCTTTGTTATAGACATACTCAGAAAGAATGAGAACTATCATGACATCACACAGTAACTCCTGTACTCACAATTCTCTCACGTTTTTAAAATTTCCTCGAATCTCTGCTGCTATGACCCCAATGTTTCTCTCTTTATTTAGGCAACGGAGCCAGCACCTTAAAAATTATTATTTCAGGTTTGATATCATCCCACTGCTCACATAGCTCTCAGAACTCATAATCCTATAACCCTTTAGTTTGCAAATGGCTTTCATAAGCCTTCAAGTTCATTTAATTCATCGATGTATATTTTGTGTCTGGGAAGTAGAGAAAGTAGTGATTTTGTTTTTTCATTTACGAAGAGAGCAGTGAAATTGTTTACAGAATTTCACATAGATATTGCATGGTGGAACCTAATCTCAAAGGTAGATTTTCTGATAATTTTCACAAGAGAGAGAATCTTTCCATCTCTTTCCATGGGTGGCAGAAGGGATAAACTAAAGTTAAATGTTAAAATCCTCATGTGCTTAGGAGAGGAACTCGACATTCACATTGTTGTGTAAGTATCTGACCGGGTAGGTCATCCCAGTAGGTAACCTGGGACCACAGACATCTCCTGGAGGAGACCCAGGAGAGACGATCCCAACACTGCGGAGCTGCAACTTGAAGCAAGGGAAACAATACAGAAACGACACCTTCATTCAGTCAGCACCACGTGTGAAAGAGGTGGCTGGGAAAATGCTCAGTACAGAGAAGAGGAGAAGCCGTGACCTGGAGGTTTGCATAGGCCTAATTTTCCTGCCTTTGTACCAGATATTGTCTCCTAAGCAGTCAGGAAATGGAGAGTCAGGTTCCTGGTCTCCACGATGCTACAGTTTACTAAATGCTCACAACGTCCTAGTGTTTAAGCACCTAACAGAC